TTTTTTGGTTGCAGCCGTCATTGTTGTTTGGCGGGCTGGGCTGGGGATTCGAACCCGCCACCTTAGGTGTATGTGGCTGGCGCCTTAGCCGCTTGAGCCACAGGTGCCGAGCCCTGTCCTACGGTTCTAAAGTTGCCAATCATGTGAGCTGATTCTTTTAAATTAGTATCCCTCTCTTTCTCTCTGCCATGTATGGACACAGAGAGAAATTCACTGTCTACAACCTGGGAAGAGAGCCCTCAACAGAACCCAGCCATGCCTGATTTCAGACTTCTCTCCTCCAGAAGTATAGAAAATGATTTTGTTATTGCAGTCCAAGCTGACTAATACAGAGACTTTATTTGGAAACACTATCTTTGCACATGTAACAGTGAAGTAAGGTACTTAGAGTGGGACCCGAATCCAATATGACTCGTATCCTTACCACAAGGGGAAATGTAAACACAGAGGCAGACACGCACAAATGGATGATGATGTGAAAAGATACAGGGAGAAGACAGCCATCTTCAAGCCAAGGACAGAGGCCCAGAACAGCTTTCCCCATAGCCCTCAGAAAGAACCAATCCTACAAACACCTTGATCTTGGGCTCATAGCCTCCAAAATGGTGAGACAATAAATTTCTGCTGTTTAAGCCGTCTAAGTTTGTGGTACTTATTGCAGCAGCCTAGCAAACTAATCCAATGGCCTTGAGAAACTTTCGGTAGCCTGACTTCCTATGGGAAACACTGAACTTGTGAGATATATACATGCTTGGGAAAAGCTAGGCACACTTTTTTACTAACAAATAATCTTATAGGTGGAAGTTCTCTATTTTGATTAAGTTTTGGGAATGAGAAGTTTTTATGCCTATAGAATCAAAAGTTACAAATTTACTAGCTATTCTTCTCTAATATGTATTTGAAGGTTTGAGTATTTATTGTTTATGCAAAATGCTGCCATGTCTTTTTATTTCACTCTGTATTAAATTTAGGTTAAAACTAACACTTCTATGGAACTTGGTATTTTAGAAGAATATTCAATATGTTCCCTTTTAAAATAATGCCAGATGCCCACATTAATTTAGGTATTGGCTGATATAATGTATTATTTTATGACAAGCAATGCAAACTGAATTGAATATATTAGAAAACTTAAAAATAATCTTATCAAGATCTTTCAGAGTTTATGATATTAAAGAATATTGATTTTATTTTCAGCAACAACATACTCTAGATTCAAGTATTTGATTTTCAATTACAAAAGAAAATACTTTAAAGACTATGGTAGAAATTGAAGTCAATGCTTTTAATATAATCTCCATGGCAACATGGGAAGGAGCACAGCCTGGTGGGCCAAATGAAAGCCACAAAATCTCAATTTCAGACCCTAGCATTAACTCACCACAGAAAGCTACGTTTATATCTTGGCATTTCATCTCTGCTACAAACAGAGGCACCCTGGCTTTACTCAACAAAAGAGAATTGCGTTAATCCTATGTACATATGTACTCATTTTACTCAATTAATACTATTATATCTATGTTCTGTAACAGTGTAAGATCATTCACACCAAATTTCTAGGTTATAGCAGGGAAATAAGTAGCAGCACATGGAAAATGCAAATCCTAAGTTTCCCAAATTTCATATAAAGACAATGTAAAAATGACTTCATTTAAAGGATCCACTTTATTTTCATAAATGAATTACCAAGACAAAAAGTTTACTTTTATTTTTTTGAGACAAGAGTCTTACTCTGTCACCCTGGGTAGAGTGACATCATCATAGCTCACAGCAACCTCAAATCTTGGGCTCAAGTGAACCTGTTGTCTCAGCCTCCTGAATAGCTGGGACTACAGGCAGCTAGTTTTTTCTGTTTCTAGTAGAGATGGGGGTCTCACTCTTACTCAGGCTAGTCTCAAACTCCTGAGCTCAAGCAGTCCACTCTCCTCGGCCTCCCAGAGTGTTAGGGTTATAGGCGTGAGCCACAGGTTCGGCTTGAGTTTAGTTTTGAAAATAGGTAGAAAATGTGTTCTATAGGAAGATGATGCATAAAGATCTGAATCATAGTTAAATGAATTAGTTAAGATTTTCCTATGATAATATCTTGCTAATATGAAGATCATTTGCTAAAAACACAACAAAAATAAGAAATAAAAACATCTCAGTTACAATAATAGGTAATAGGAGTTAACATTTACTTAGTATTTATTACATGCCACATACTATCCTGAGCTTTTCATGTGAATGATCTCATTTAATCCTCACAATGACCTTATTAAGTAGATATTTTATTGGTAAAACGGCTAAGCTCAAGGATGTTCAATAATTTGCTCCAGTTTTCCCAATGGGGAGTCAGAATCAGGCCTGGGCACTGGACCACTGTATGCAACTACTTCTCAGACAGGAGTCTATTTCCTTTGTTCATTTTATTCACACAGTAACACACTTGACACCTCAGTTCTTTTTACTCTAATTTAAATGTAATTCTATCAAATTTGGTTATCTGGTCACATAAGATTATAAGTAGCAAACGGTAATCGTTCAGAGGGAGCTCCTGTAAGCAGAAAACATTAAAAATATAGAAAATTGAAAAAGGAACTGAAAGTTTAGCAAAAAGAGATTGTCCACAGTAAGAAAAAAACAAACATGGTTTGGGGACGGAGAGGCAGAGATATGAAAATGGTAACCACCATTTATTAAGTACCTCTTACATGCTAGGCTTTTGCCTTCATCATCTGCTAATCCTTATGTGGTCCTACCACACAGCCTGTTATATATCCCCATTCAAGAAGTTCAGCAGCCTGTCCCAACTCACAACAGAGTAGCCAGGCTTAATACGTGAAAGGCCCCTGCTCTGAACAACGCACCACACTGCTTATCTTGCATAGATTAAGAAATGAAGGAAGGAAAAAAAATATTACAAAGTTTCTATAAAAATAATTACAGTGGAAATGCTTTTTGGCATTGAAGGGGTAATAAGCTTCAGTTACTAGGAAAGTTAAAATCACCCAAGATACATCTGATAAGTGAGGTGTTATAGTACTTGGTTCAAATTTAGAAAATCCATAAGCTAAAGTTGTGCAAATGGGATATTTTCTTTGTTTGGTATTCTTTTTTTTTTTAAATACCAATATTGGAGTTTTACTTATTGAACAGTCTTAGCAAATTCAAAGCACTGTGGCAAGAAACCAAGAGTGGTATGAGAATGTCATTTGGAAGGGTTAGAAATTCAAAACAGAAACGTATGCACACCCACAGAACTCAGTCACACACTTTCAGTTAGACAGCAATTAAACAAACGGGCTGGAGCAGGTGTGGTGGCTTAAGCCTGTAATACCAGCACTCTGGGAGGCCAAGGTGGCAGGATCACTTGAACTCGGGGGTTCAAGACCAGCCTGAATAAGAGTGAGACTTCATCTCTACTAAAAGAAGTAGAAAAACTAGCCAGGCACTGCAGCAGGTGCCTGTAGTGCAAGTTACTCAGGAGGTAGAGGCAGCAGGATCGCTTGAGCCCATAAGTTTGAGGTTGCTATGAGATAGGCTGATGCCACGGTACTCTAGCATAGAGAAACAGAGACTGTGTCTCGAAAAATAAAATATAAATAAATAAGTAGAAGGGCTGGGCTCATTCCATTATACAACAAATTATTTTTTCCTGTATCCACTATTGCTTAAAGACTACTGTGAACAGGGAAGTAACAGGAAAGCATTCCCACAAAGAATGAATCACACTAAGTAATACAGGCTGTCCCTGGGTTACATACATAAGAGGTTCTGTAGGCTTGTTCTTAAGTTGAATTTGCATGTAAGTTGAAATCAGTATATTTACCTATCATCTGTAATAGCCTTGGTTCATAAGTGCAAGTTGTACATTAGTCAGATGTTTGTAACTTGGGGACTTAACTGTAATAGCCTCTGTTTATAAGCATGAGTTGTACATTAAGTTGGATGTTTGTAACTTTGTGACTGCCTATAAACACAATGAAACTATTCTGTATGTGACCAAAATTAACTAGTAAGGGAAGGCTAGTGCTCTTGTGATGCAAATATATGCACATGTTCCACTTGGCTGTATCTCAGGAAGCATATTATGCTCCTATGGAGCTGCTTCCATGGCCTCCCACACGCCATGCTGTACCCCTTGCCCAGTGTAAGCCCTGGTGCCCACTTAGGCATGATTACCCCTGGTGCAGCCCTGCCATCGGTGTCTCTCTCAGGGGAAAGAGCTTGGGGTAGACGATGGTAAACATGGGTTCGCTGCACCGGTGACAGTGCCCTAGGGGGCAGTGCAGCAGCTCCAGGAGACTTCTGGGTAGTGAGATGGGAGATAGAAAGTTCAGATCTGGAACATAAGAGAAAATCATACACATAAGCAAAAACCAGACTTCTTTAACCTAGGCTTTAAAAAATATTTCTCTTTGTTACCAAATGAGTTTGGTTAGCTAAAAGTACTTCATGCTGAAAATTCTGTTATCTGATAGGCATTGAATAAAAAAATTAACATTATTTGGAAACAAAAGTTTTTTTTTACATTAGTAATACTAAAAGAAAATGTAAAACCACTTTTTTAATAATAATCAGATACTGTCCTGAGGTAGAGGCAAGGAAGGAAAAAGATCAAATATTTTTTAAGAACAAGATCAAAAAGGCATCAACTTACCCAGAGAGGACTTTGTAAGCTTATAGTCAGAGAAATAAAAATGGACTCAGACTGAAGACCAAAACTGACTTTCATTGCGTTCTCCCTAAATCCATTAGGCATTTAGTATCAGTGAAGCATCGATTAAGGCTAAATCATACTTATTGAAAAGAATGAAACATAGGAAATCAAAGAGTATGAAAAATAATGAAATCAAGTTCATTCCCATGAACTAGTGTTAATAAAAATACAGAGTTTCCTTCCCAGCTTAGTCTGAGCTTCGCGAAAGAGACATTTAAAACAAAACATCCCAGTGGCCCAGGCAACGTTGGGCACAAATTTTATTAGGTTTCTACTGATAATAAACATCCAAAAGAGAGAGAAATGGTAATGCTGAGGTGAAATCTAAAGATTGACTTATCTTTGGGAAGAAAATATAAATTATCTTCTTACATTTTTATCTTTGTCCAGACTCATAAATAACCACTTAGAAAAATGTAATTTACTCATAGGTGAAAAACTATAATTTTTTGTTTAATTTTGAAAAACAAGTTAACTTTGTATTGGACATTCCTGGTAAGCCAATGTTAAATGCTTTTGTATGGATTCCGTTTTTTTTTTTTAAGCAAAGACAAAACATTTAGCAGCTTTAAAAACATTTGAAATGCATTTTTCTTATTAATATTGCCTAGTGCTGTTTTATTAAAGCATTTCAAACATATCCCCCAGACACAATACCTATAAAATCTATGCACTGCCAAATCCTGTCTAAAATAACTTAGCATGCTGTGATAACACTGCCAAAGGCTCTTGGTATTTTTTCTTCTATAGGTATGTACATTTCTCAGATGCGAGCAGGCTATAAGGCAAAAATCTGCTTTGCTGGAAGAGGCATCCAACTTTGCTTTAAAGATAAGATCTTTCCAAATTTCCCCTACTGCAAGCCTTTCACTTCAACTAATACATATTATAAACACCAATTTCCTTCACTTAAATTCCCTATTTTAACTATTAACCACTGTCCTTTCCAACTAAAGACCATATTTTAAGGAATACTTCTCTATGTCTGTAGAGGGTGCTAAAGGGATCAGTGTTAAGTTAATAAAATAGTAAAGCTAGTTTTCTTATAAGAAAAATCCTAACCTGGCATGGTGGCTCACACCTATAATCCTAGAACTTGAGGAGGCTGAGGCAGGTGGATTGCCCAAGCTCAGTTTCGAGACCAGCCTGAGCAGGTGCAAGACCCCATCTCTAAAAAACAGCCAGGCATTGTGGTGGACACCTGTAGTCCCAGCTACTCAGGAGGCCGAAACAAGAGGATTGCTTGAGCCCAAGAGTTTGAGGTTGCTGTGATCTGCGATGCCATGGCATTCTACCGAGGGTGACAAAGTGAGACTCCATCTCAAAAAAAAAAAAAGGAAGAAAAGAAAAACAAAAATCTCAATTTAGTTTAGTAAGAGATTATATGTAGAGAGAATGGTCTAATCAGAGACCTGCAGGCTTTGACATATTGTTACATTTCTATTTCAAGTTATTCTTCTTATCGTCTTTTTTTTCCCATTAAACTGGGATCAGAGTAGAGAGTGCCTTTTATAAAGAATTTAAATGCCAGGAGATGATCACTAAGAAAGGTTGATAAACAAAATTTGTGCAGATGTGTTAACTATTAAGTAAAAGTGTATTAATGAATTTTAATAAAGCATATACAATTATAACTCAAAAAAAAAAAAGAAAAAGAAAAATCTCATTGTGCAATGACATAAATGTACTTAATATGCCACTGAACTATGTACACTTAACCATGGATAAAATGGTAAATGCGTGTTATGTTTATTTTATCATAATAAAAACAATTTAAAAAAAAATAAAGGTGGAAACAAGCAACATATAACACAATTTTTATGTTCACTGAATCAGAAATAGAAAAAAAAGAAAAGTCCCATGTACCTTTCAGAAAGCCGTGGTAGGTGTGATACAGACTTCTCATGGCCAGCTCTTGCAGAGGCAGGACGTGATCATTCTCTGTCCCGATGGCCTTCACCTCGGCTGGGAGGAAAACAGTTAGTTGCCCTGATGAAAAGGAAAGTAGCTTCATCTCGGAAACTTGAATGGGAGCACCACAGCTGCAGAAAGACACGTATTCACAGTAGTATTAGCAATAGGAATGTGGGTGCCAACAAAAGTGTTAATCAAAATATACATCTGAAAATTTATGACACTGCTGAACTGCCAGAATTCTTCTCAAAGTGAACAGATGCTATCCTGGGTTCCTCAATAAAACCTGGCTCATAAATCTAAACTCATCTGTTGGAACTCTGCTAAATCATTGCTGAGGCCCAGCCATTTCCAGCAAGGATAAACTTTAAAGAAACTTTCCTTCTTAGGAGCTATACAATTTGCTTGTAAGCTCTATTTTCCCTCATTTTAATATCCTCTCCAAATGGGTGATAATTGAAACTTTCTAAATTAAATGGGCAGAAAGAGTCCTTTGTTGAATTTTTAGTATCTTGGCTTAATACAATTTTTGTGTAGAAAAACTTAGACCCACAAAGCAAACAGATTTTAAATGGTGTAAGACAACCTTATTGGATCCGTTCACAAACTTGTGGAGGAAATATTCTTGGCACGTTGCATAAGTCAACTCATGCCACTCATAACCTGAAGGCAAAGATGTCATTGTTCCTTTAGCTGCACAGTTACCAAATCTCAGGACTCAAATCTCATTCTACATCTTGTCTGAGACCAAGAGAGTTACCTAAAAACCTGGATACTTTTCCTCTCTAGTGCCAACAAATCTTGACTCTGAAAACACTATGACATAATATCACTTAACCTTGACCAGAACAGGCAATGGAGCACACGGTGCAGGGCTGAAAGGCAGAAACCCTTGACTCACTTATTTGTTAAAAGTTCCCTCATATGTACATTCCTTCCTTCTATTGGAAAATATTTCCAGAGCACACTATATGCCAGTCAGTCAAGATACTTAGATTAAGAAAACCAAGATGACCCCTTTACTATAGAGACCACAACTGATCTAAGAGGGGAGCAAAGAAGGGGTGACTGACTGTCCAGGGATTTAGAGAAGATTTTAAAGAGGGGTCAAATGATTAGAGCTCAGCTGATTTCACCAGCAATAAATGAAAAGCCAAATGTAGTAGTATTCCAAGCAAAGGGAACAGCACATGTGGCAGTGCAGAAACCTGAAAGAATCTGGCTATGTTTGTGGTTTCAAGGTGGCTGGAAAAATGAAGAGAGGAAAAGGCCAGGATTATTAGCTGAAGTTAGATGGTTTCAATTTATAAAGAAAAGTGTCAAATGGTTTTTACAAAACTATCTGGCCACAGTATAGTGAACAGGAAAGAAATGGGTAGCAAAGAGATGAAAACTCAAATACAGAAGGAAAAAGGAATGAGGAAATGGTTAAGGTTTCAAAAGCAAGAGCCTGAGGTAAGTGGACGAAGAAGGGAAGAGCCAATGTGGGTAAGAAGCCTGTAGTTTTCTTTGTAAGTTCCTAAAGCAAATAACTCATACTTTCCAATTAATGATAATCTGGAGGGCTTGATATATTTTAAATAGAAACCTCATCAAATTGTAGAAGCAGAAAAGTAAGTCATATGTGAAGTGGGCTGGACAAATTTCACTCTTTTTTCAGAGTGCTATTTTTAGTAATTTGATCATGTACTCTAATTTTTAGCTAGAAGTGTGCTTTTAAAAAAATCACTCAAAACAATCTAATATTGTAAATTTAAATTTCGAAAATAATGCACGCTTATTGTTATAAACCAAACAATAGAGAACATGAAGAAAAAGTAAACAGTTCCCTTAAGTTTCCCTCTTCATGCCCTCTTTCTCCAAAGTAATTACTATTAATATTAGTAATTAGTTTGATGTTTATCATTCTACTCTTTGCTCAGGCAAAAAAATAGAAAAAGAAACTCTCACTTATTTTTTCCCAACAAATAAGATCACATAATTCTGTAATGTGCTTTTGGCTCAAGTAATCCCTTAGGTCAATCAAGATACACTTAGAAAAAATTTTTTTTAATTTTTTTTTTTTTTTTGAGACAGGGTCCTGTTCTCCCAGACCATAGTGCAGTAGTATCATCATAACTCACTGCAACCTCAAAACTCCTGGGCTTGAGTGATCCTTAATCCCCACCCAGAGAATTCTATTTAACTGCTACATAATATTCCATATATGGATGTACTGTACTATATTTTGCCTGTATACATTTTTTGCTCAAAATTTTGAGAGAAAAATAAGGATGCGCATTATACATGGGTAGTATGGCTCAGGAGCCAGGGATCCTAGCACCTTCCCACCTGGGCTCACCAGGCACACAGTTCTAGTCTGGAAAGATCTGAGACCTGGTGGGAGGGGGCCTCAGTGGCCTTGGTCAGGGGCCCCAAGCAGGGGAGGTAAAGGTGGTGGGGCTTTGCAGGGCAAGGGCTAAGGCCCAAGGTCTGCCTGTGTGGAGGGGACCAGAAGTCCTGTGTAGGCCCCAGGGACCCGCCTGGACACCTGACGGCCAAGTGGCCTCTGAAGCTCCCACTCACTGGCCACACACATGGCCATCTTGGCTGTAGCCCCTGATGTGGCAAGGAGGAAAGGGCTCTCAGGAGGAAGGGAAGGGGCAGCTCTCACAAGGCCAATAGCTTCAGGAGGACAGTTCTGCCTATTCACCAGAAGAGCCATAGCCCTCCTTAGATGCGTCTCTCCTGGCTAAGCACCAGCCACCTTCTTGTGGGCAGTCTCCTGAAAGTTTGGAGCAAAAATGTGGGCATGCATTATACACAGGAGCACATCATTACACATGGCAAAATATAGTAATTTACTAACCTTTCATTATGTTCATCTTTGTTTTTCCAAAGATTTCCCTCTACTACACAAATAGCATCACAATAAATCTTACATACATTCCTATGCACAAATGTTTTTATTATTATAAGATAAAATTCCCAAACTGGAGTTGCTAGCCATAAAAACTGAAAATTTTAAGTGCTGAGATTTTCCAAAAAGGTTGTTATTTATAAAAGTATTCATTTATCTACATCATCATCATAACCAAATGTCATCAATCATGTTAGTCTTTTGCTAATCGGATCAATAAAAACTATCTTCTTACCTCCTTTTGATAGGTTTACGGCCACTAACATTTCTTCTTTTTTTTTTTTTTGAGATAAAGTCTCAAGCTGTTGCCCTGGTTAGAGTGCTGTAGCGTCATATAGCTCACAGCAACCTCTAACTCTTGGGCTCGAGTGATCCTCTTGTCTCAGTTTTTCTATTTTTAGTAGAGATGGGGTCTTGCTTTTGCTCACGCCAGTCTCAAACCCGTGAAGTTAAGCAATCCATCTGCCTCAGCCTCCCAGAATGCTAGGATTACAGGGTGAGCCACCATGCCCGGCCTACATTTCCTCTTCTGTAAGCTGTCCATTTACATCCTTTGCTTAACTTTCTATTGAATTAAAAAAATCAATTTGGAGAGATTTCCACATTGGTAGTGACAATTCTTTGACATATGTGCTGAAATATTTATTTCCACAAACATATACTTTTCACTTTTTTTAATGTGTGGCTTCCATGAGGCAGCAGAACCAGGCCATGCTCCAGGAGGCCTAAAATATTTTTTGTCTTTTAACTTTTGTCATTAAGCAGTCATTTTCTTCTGAGGTAAAATCTATCCATTTATTTCCTTTACGGAATCTACATTTTCTGATTTTCTTAAGAGGGTTACACTAATTTAAAGACTGTGCATATGATATCCTCAAGTTTATTCCAGTATGTTTATTGTAGTACTTTACATATAGATGTTTTATCTGTCTTTTTTGGTAGATGATATGAAATAGGATTTAACTTTTTCTTCTAAATGGACAAATAATATTGGTAGCATTATTAAATAAAACTATTTAAGGCATTTCTGAATTGAAATGTTCTCTTTATCATATTAAGTTCCCATATACCCTTGCATTAATCTGGAGTTTCTGATGTGTTATAGTGACATATTTGTTTAATCTTATGCTAATTCTACATTGTTTTGATTATAATAGCTTTATAGAAGCTTCTATCATCTAAGTCTGCCAAACTTCTTTTCCAAATTGTTTCTTCAGAATTCTTAGTTACTATTCTATTTGAACTTTTTTTAAATTTGTTTTTTATTAAATCATAACTTTGTACATTGATGAATTTATGGGGTTCAGGGTACTGCTTTGATATACAATGTGAGATGCTGACATTGAACTAAGTAACACATCCATCACAATTATACTCATTTCTTAATAGTTTTGAAATGTACCATTGCATCATGCACATTAGGTGAGGTCCCCCCAAATACCCTCTCTTCTTCCATGTCTCCCCTCCCCTCCCCTCCCTCTCCTCTTACATTTTACGTTCTGGACTACAGTTATGTTTTGCCATTCATATGAGTGTGTAGGTGGTTATACATTGATTACATAGTACTATTGAGTACGTTGTATACTTTTTTCCCCAATCTCGAGATACTTTACTAAGAAGAATATGTTCCAGCTCCATCCAGGTAAACATAAAAGATGTGATGGCTCCATCCTTTTTTATGGCTGCATAATATTCTATGGTGTACATACACTACAATTTGTTAATCTATTTATGGGTCACTGGGCAGTTGGGCTGTTCTCATGTCTTGGATATTATGAACTGGGCTGCAATAAACATTCTGGTGCAAATGTTTTTATTGTAAAATAATTTTTCATCATCTGGGTATATACCTAGTAGAGGAATTGCAGGATTGAATGGTAGGTGTACTTTTAGTTCCCTGAGTGTTCTCCAAACTTCTTTCCAAAAAGGTTGTATTAGCTTGTATTCCCACCAGCAGTGTGGAAGCATTCCCTTCTCTCCGCATCCACGCCAACATCTGTAGATTTGGGATTCTGTGATGTGGGCTAATCTTACTGGAGTTAGATGATATCTGAAAGTGGTTTTGATTTGCATTTCTATTATGAGCATTTTTTCCATCTGTTTGTAGGCCATGCATCTGTCTTTATCAGAGAAGTTTCTGTTTAAGTCTTTTGCCCACATAGAATTAGGGTTGTTGCCCAGGAATATGGGGAAAGAGGAAAGGGAGGGGATGGGAGGGGAGGGGAGGGG